ATCGGCCCCTGCAGCGTATCAGCCGTTGCCCTCACAACGGTATCTGTAAGGTTCTTAAGCACACACAGAAGAGATTTGAGGAAATCAACAGCAGCCTGCCGCAGACTAAAGATGTGAACAGACACCGTCGGTCCCTGCCACACACCGCCAGCAGGTAAGGACAGCCCAGTGCCAGGAGCGTGTATTCCCTCAGCTCTATCTACTGACCAGGCTGCACCGTGCCTACACAGGCTGCCCGAGAACAGCACGGCTTCGCTATAGCTCAGCTGCAGAGCCAGGGAAGGTGGCTGTCAGGCAGGGCTCCTTTCCCCTTCCCCTGCTTCCCTCCCACAATCTACCATTCCCTGACAAGGTAAGGAACAAGCTGCTGCCCCCTAAATAATGTAGAAACGGAGAACAGAGTGGAGAGCAGAAGAGCCAGTCAAGCCATCACCGCTTGGCTGACTGAGATGACCCTAAAACGCTGCCAAAGGGAGAATTTCCTACTCCAATAGAAAATTAACAACTTGGTAAATGCAAGGGCTAACGAGGCAAAGCGGGCAGGGGAGTACACAGCAAGCTCGCTCTCTGGATAAGACCAGGGTAGAGTGTGACCACTGGCTGCTAAACTGACCTTACCTGGAGATACAGGTGAGACGAAGAGGTATGCGGAGTCACCATCCAGGCAAGTGACAACTCAATGTCCCCAGGAAAAGCTACAGTCTGGTTCTCCTTACCTTTGATTTCACTAGCTTGGTGATACTCTCTTTCAGCATCCCCTCAACAGCAGTGAGCTTGGTGGCAATAGTGTTGCTTAGCTGGCCAGCAATGGGGTCCACACTCTTGGAAATGCCTGGGCACAACACAGACACATCAGACACTGCAGCTTTAAACCCGGGATCACACTTCAAAACCCAAAAAAGAAAGTGGAGTCAATCTTTTCTTGGATATGACACAGCCAGAGGCAATGGTCACAAGCTCTGGCTCGGGGAGCTAAGGTTGGATGTTAGGAGACACTTTTTGGTAAGAAGGTGGTACAACTCTGGAAGTCACCAGAGAGGCAGTGGAAGCTCCTCCAGCCTTGAAGGTTTTCAAGGCTTGCCCTGACAAAGTCCCAGCTGACCTGACCTAGAACAGGCAGCCCTGCATGATGGTGGACACCAGTACAGCAGAACGCTTTCCCACCAGCGCTTCTTTGAACTTTTCCTTACACAGACAGTGCCGGTGCATCAAGGAAGGGCAAAGATAAGTTTAGCTTTGCTCCAGTCCAGTCTCAGCATTTCCAAGCCCATTAGCCTCTTCTGCCTTCCTCCATCAGCCTCCAGAAGCTTTATGGATTACAGCAGGAGGTCAGACCACATTCCCTGGAAAAGCATCCTCTCTGGAAGCCTCATACTCCTTTCAAACCACAACTCCTCAGATTACAGTGGGGCCTACAACAGTCTAAAGCACAATGAGTAGTCTTCATGTATCCTAACTCCTACGTCATACAGTGCAAACACTTCTACGCAGCCCACGTTCAATCCCTACGGGGCCAGCGGTAGGGCTTCACCTTCAAAACCCAGGCAGCAACACTCACACTGGGGTACGGTCTTCTTCATCTCCTCACGAACAGTCCTCTCCAGGCGGTTACACACAGCAGCGGAAAGGGACTGAGAGAGCTGCTGAGACAGGTGCTCCTGGAGCTGCCCGTTGCGCTGCTGTCCTTCCGTCAGCACTCGGTCTAGTCTTCTCTCTAACGAGAACGCACGTTAAGGAGCACAACCAGCAGCTTTCCTTACTGCCCTCAACACTCCTGCCCACAAAGATGGACACTGGCCTTGTCTCAGAGGCTCAGCGAGAGCAAGTCTGCAGCTCTGGCGAAAGAGGGGTCTAATAACACTGCTGAAGTGTTCCTGAAAGCAACAGGGTGCTCCCAAACCAATTATCAGGGTGAGAGAAGAGCTTTGGAAGGTGTGGTAGAAAAGCCAAACTGCTAAAAGAAGCTTGACAGTAGCGCTGCCTGCATGCTGTGGGTTAACTTAGCTACCCCCAGGTAGGCAGCTCAGCCCCACACAGCCGCTCGCTCACTGCTCTGCAGCGGAATAGCTCATTCCTCTGCAGGGAGGAGAACAGGAAGGGTAAGGGTGAGAAAGGTCATGAATTGAGACAAAGACAGTTTAACAGGTAAAGCAAAAGCCCCACACGCAAGCCAAGCAAAATAAGGAATTCATTCACCACTTCCCACCGGTGGGCAGGTGTTCAGCCATCCCCAGGAAAGCAGGGCTCCATCACGCTTTACGGTGACTTGGGAAGACAAATGCCATTGCTCCAAGTGCCCCCTCTTCCTCCTCCTTTCCCCCAGCTTTTACTGTTGAGCACAATGTCTTATGGTATGGGATATGCCCTCGGTCAGCTGGGCTCAGGTGCCCCTGCTGTGTCCCCTCCCTACTTCTCTCCCACCTCCAGCCTGCTCGCTGGAACAGGAGAAACAGAGAAGGCCTTGACAGGGTTTAGCAAGAGCAAAAACATCAGTGTGTTATCAACGTTGGTTTGGTCACAGATCCAAAATGTGCCACCGTACAAGCTGCTACAAAGAAACTTAACTCCAGCCAAAACCAGTACAGAAACCAGGAAGCCCAATATCTGCAGAAAGCAAACTGGGAGTAGCATTTCTAAAGGATGGAATTGGTGGACATCAGCGATGTAGTGCACGGGAGCAAACCCAGGCTTGATAAAAGCTACTCCCCTACCTCACGAGGCAGCCAAGCTCCCTGAAGGAGCCAACACATAAAGAGAAACACACAAACACATGCCCCTTCAGAACAAACCAGCAGCAACAACAAAACACCCAACAGAACAAACAGAAAAGACAATTTAGCTGTTGACAAAGTTCAGTGCAGACACAAAGTTGGGCAGATAGGGAAAAATTATTCTAATATTTCAGTGTAGCGCTAGACTCTGAACTTCAGTAGAAAGCTCCCTGAATTATCTATGAAAATATCAGCCTGATGGTCAAAAAGGAAAATCCAAGACTACTTAATAGAGAAAACAGAAGTCATTGCCACGTCATAGAAGTTAAGGGTAGTTTCAGCCACAAAACAGGTTCAAGCTCCTCAGTTTGGGCAACAAGACCAAATTCAGTCCAGCAAAAGATGTACAGGAACTGACTACTCACAGTACAATAAAAATAATTGGATACCAGGTTTGAAGAAACCAAAAGCAAGTACTTTTCAGACAACACACAAGGGACCTGTGGACCACCAGATGTCTATTTGGGGACAGACAAGATAATTCTACATCCAGCTATGCAGCACAGCAGGGCAGATGCTGTTTCTGGTGCAAGTACCGACTTGCCATGAGGAGGAAAGGAACATCCCATAATTAATCTTGTGCAACTGGTCACTGCCTGACGTAGGCCAACGCTGCGTCACAGCACCTGTGGTCTTAATGGGCAACTAGAAGGTTTAGTGGCATGGAGAAAGGATCAGTTCTTTGTTCTGTTTCTGAGTTTCTTGCCCTTAGAAAGGGACTGAGAGGAACTGAAATAGTTATATGACAGCCAGGCAATTTTACTGCACCGACGGCCCACGCTGCAGAGATCTTTAACTTTCTTAGCCTTCCTCACGTCTCTAGTCTGCTCCTTAACTGCCACGCAACACCTGCAAACAAGGATACGCTCCTGTTCCTGCTGGGAGTCAATCACCCTCTCCACATGACCCATAAGGGAGCTCTGGATGGCATCGAGGTGATCCGTGAGCCTCTGCAGCAGCTCCATCTGGTTCTGACGCAGCTCAGAGAGCTCCCGCTGTTGGCTCCTCAATATGCACATCAGCTCGTCCTGGAACTCCGGTGTCACCTATGCAAGGAGAGGACAAGCATTCATTTCTGACAGGACTGGAGGTCAGTCAAGCTTTCTGCTGGGTCAACCCCTGTGCCTAGGACTGAAGTGGAACACACAAAGCAGAAAACGGGGTCAGCTTAATGCCTAAAGATAAGACTTTCGTCCCAAGAAATACATTGATAAAGCAAGGCACAAAGGTTCCTGCAAGGAATTCATAAATGGTTGCTTACAATATCAACTGCTAAAATTCAAGACCCCCTTCAAAGCTCTGGCACCTAAAACAAACAGATCCTATTCGTTTCTGGTCAGGTTCAGAGTGCATTTAGGCCTCCAAATGCAACTAATGACCTCAAGACACCTGTGAAAGAGGTGTGCAGTCAGTCAAGTAGGAGGGAGGTTTCCTAGAGCACTTTTTCAGCTCTTTCACTTATTTAGGAATAACCAAACAACTGGAGGAGAAGTACACATCTACAGTCGCTTCACCTGCTCAAAATACCTAAAGGAGGCACACATATGAAGGGCAGTTTAAGAAGCATTCGTTACTCTGCTGAGAGCATTTTCTGACAGACATAAAGGTACTATCAACAGGGATAAGAAATTCCAACAGGCCAGTCCTACCATGACCCTTACTTTGCCTGGGAGTGCTTATCCTGCTGCCGAGTCATCTCGGCAGGGAAGAGGAAATGAGTGGTAGTGCCTCAGATGACATAAGGCTTGTGAGAACACAGAAGCGCACATCGATATGCAAAGGGGAGAAGGGAGAGCTCAGCCTGCACAGCGCTGAGCAGCTCCTCCTCTGCCGTGCCAGACAGAAGGGAGCAATGCCAAGGCGCAGCCCCATCTCAGCCTGCTCGGGCCCACGCTGTGTCAAGGGACCGGGCTGAACTTCCTCTCAGGCCCTCAGTAAGTCAGGAAATCATGCCTGTGGCACGGACTGCAGCGCAGTTCTGACTCACCTGGTTGTTAGATGATCTTGGCAACTGGTTCCCATCCCTGGAAATAAAGAAGGTAATAATCCGATTATGTCAATTAACTACTCTCATTATCCAAGTCTGCTGCCAAAACAGATCACACATTTTACGGTCGCTTTAGATTTTACACTCCGGCTCATACTTCCGTTTTGCCTAGTATGACATGAAAAGCAACGGGAAGGTGGGGAAATCCCTGTCCGGACAGCACCGACTCCATCATCTGCACTATCCACAGGCCCTCAAGTTCCTTACAGACCGATCCCTTCACAGCAGGAGATTTGAACCAAGCCTTAATGAGCACTGGTACAAAGGAAAAAGCACACCGATTTTTCAGTTTGGTCCAAATTCAAAGCCAGCCGTCTGCCAAACAGCTTTTGAAGGTCTCCTGATATTTTACAGACAAAAAACAAGTACCCATTTCTTAAATATGGAATTAACAAGCTTCAAATTACCTAGAATGATTCCCGCTCTCGAGGTGGAAGAAACCAGCGGTGCACTCCCGCATATACAGCGGAGTAAAAGAAAAACACTGAACTGACCCACTAACGTTGCATGTCTCCATCGAAATCACACATCTATGTATATTCAAAGGCTACCAGAAGGAAAGTAAACGTTCCCAGACAGCATCCATTCAGCACTTTAAAAGGACGGAGGCAGAAAAAACGAAAGGTTAAGAGCTTCTGGGTGTCACAGTACAGGACCACAGCCAGAAACTTTATGCCTCAGCTCATCTTTTTGTGATCTGCACAGTCAGTGATCCAAACCACGGAGCTACAGGAACACAAGAAGAGCAGAGAGCCCCGTGCAGAAGCTGTGCTGCTCTCCTCTCACCAGTACAGGTAGGTTGGTCTGATTTGCCATGAGCAAACCTTAAGACCTTTCCAGTCATCAGTTTTCACCTAGAGGACATTCATATGGGCACGTGTAGAAACACACAGAAGCAGCAAGCAGGTAACAAACGATAGATGTCACTGAACAAAGGCACTGTGCCAGCATTCAGAACCCAACCACAAATGCAGGCCACGTTAAGCCACTCACACTGTCACAGTTCCAATGAAGCCTTCACTGAAACTGGTAAATGGATCCAGTGTCCCAACCCCACAACGTGCAATTTACCTCCCGCACATTCTTCTAAAGCCCAGGCTGCATTTTGGACTTTGAGTCCCAGCTGGAAAGGTAGTGCAGCACCGACTCCAACACCCCGGAGTGGCAGGCAGTGTCTGAGTAACAACCAACACGCCCTGTGGGGTCACTGCCATTTGCAAAGTGGGGTGAGGGTTGGGAGCACTCGGTCTCACTGCTAACAGCTACATCAGGTTGTGCCTTCTGGCAAGCCCAGCGTACCCGTCATCTTTCTTGCCCTTCCGCTTTAGCTTTGGGGAAGCACGAGGGGACGCCTTGGCTTTCCAGTCCTTCACAGGCAGCCTCTGCGCAGACGCTTTGGCACCAAATCCACCTGACGTAGAAGCCAAGCTTGCAACTTCATCATCATGGTCACTATGAAGGAACACAGCAGGGGAGAGGACATCACTCGCAATACCGGACAGCGTTAGCCCTCGCTACGGGGAGGGGATTCACACTCTGCTCTTCACCCACACACGGCCAGGGTTGCTCGGCTAAGGATGCCTGCCACCTTGATCTTTAACACAGAGACCTCTGCAAAGCTCAGCACGCCCTGCTCCGGCTGGATCTGGGTCTGCTCAGGCGGAGCTGGTGTGCACAGCAAGACCGGAAGAGTCTCTGTGTTAGGAAGCACCGCGGCTCAGGCAGTGTGGCTTGTTCTCGCTGCATACACACGCCAGCCCGCAAGCCCTCGGATGAGACGCTGACCCCGCAGGGAACCCAAGCACAGCATTTCCTTACAGCGTTACGGACAGAAAGCACTCAACGCAGCAAGGAACAGAGGAAAATTAGGGTGAGTCTAAGTGCGTGATCCTCAGTACCCTGGAGTCTTTCAGCTGCTGACCAGCCGGCCAACACAGGCTGCTTGTTTGTCTGACCTGGGGTGTGGAGTATGAATGAACTCTCAGCTGTCAAACAGGGCTGAGCTTGCCAGGCACGCAGAATGAGCTTTAGGGTGGCTCGTGAGGGAGCAAAGATGTCAAAAGCAAGAAACTAACTCCCGAGATACTCTTGCTGCAGTATCTAGGGCACAGATTTGGAAACCAGTCCCGTAGTAGGTTTTCATGGGTAATTAGACCAAGCTTGGTCCGTGCTCTTAGGAGCAGCACAGTCAAACCTTTCCTGACAGAGAGTAAACCAGGCAATGCCCAGAGGCCAATCTCGTGATCAGCTGAAGGCACCAGAACATTCTGGAAGCTGGACTGCATACACACATGAAGTCAGGAGACAAAGCAAAGACATTCACCCCACATGTGAAGGCTTGCTGGGGACAGAAGCACGAATGCAGCCTGAACTGAGTCCATGCAGGGCCAGAAAGGGGCTGAGCACTCTGGTACCTTTGTTCTGCACTAGCATCCTGGCTGTCATGCTGCAGCAAGTGGTAGCTGTGCCGATGATAGGAAGAGCTCTTGTGCTTTTCTTCAACCTCATCCCTTGGGCTAGAAGAGGGGAAAAAAAAAAAATCAGAAGACACTGTCACAAAAGTCTCTTTCAGCTGGGGCATTTGCTCACTCCACTTCTTATGGCAGATCCTGATAGAAGGTCTAAAACAGACCCCTTCACACACACATCTATCCGCACCAATCCAGACAGAAGCAAGTGTTGTTTAGAGGTACTAAACATTCAAACGTCTCCATGCCTTTTTCTGGAGCCCTTAAGAAGTGAGCAGCAGCTCAGCTATGCTTCAGCACTAACCAAGAACATAATCTCCCAACAGACATCCATGCAAACAGGTAAGGTGCTACCCAAAATGGGCAGCACAGCATACTACAGTGAACAACATCGTCCTGGGTTTGTTTTTCAACAAATAATACTGATCACAGGGCACAAAGTGCTTCTCAGCTCTTCCAGGTGTCTGAGGGAACACAGAGGGAAGTGTGCCAGCTTGATGGGTTAGCTCTACCAGACAGAACAAAATTGCAACAGCGAATCCAGTCTGAGTCTCATAAAGGTTCTGAAGCAGATTACACATGCTCGCCAGCCATACACTGAGTCTCTTTGAATTCAGTGCACGGGAAGACCTTGAAGTAGAAGCAGGTGCTTGTTGCTTTCACGCGATGGCTTGACTGGGCTGGAATGTCAAAACAAAATTACACTGATGCACAAGTGAAATTCCTCAGATCCAGAGATAGCTGATGCGATACTCTGATATGAGAAGTCCTGAAGAATGCAAAGACTGAGTGGGACTGAGGGGAGTTGCAAACTCCTATGACAGTACTTTATCGTCTTCAAATTACAAGCAAAACCACTGCATAGACACAGCCTCAGCACCCTCCCCAGGGCCATCAGAATTGCAACCACTTTCTGAACAGCATCCTCAGGTGTGGAAGCACAAGGCCTTTCTCTTGCAATTCTGGTGGAGGGAACAGCCCTGGAGAGTTGGAGGCACAACACTGACACTCCCAGTCCTGTTGAAAAGGCAGGCGCTTGCAGACTCACGGTGCGTGCAGCCCTAGCCTAGGCAGGCTCCAGAGGTGCCAGATGCATCCTGCCCTTCTCATCTCACTAGAAGACAGGGGCGCTGATTCCATGATGAATCCTAGCACTGCTGCCAGCATAATGGCCTGCTCCTGGTATGCAGGTGTATGTGGTGCTGCCCCATTCTGCATGCCTGCTCCACAGAGACACTGTCATTCATTTCCTGACTTGTAAAGTATTTTATTTATAATGGTAGCTGCGCACAGCCAATCCTAGAAGATATACAACTAACTTCTAATCAAACCTGTTGATTATGTGTTAATTGATTCCTTTCAGTAACAGCATGCAGGAAGGCATCACCTGAGGCAGCATTTAGCTTGCACTAGTTTTATTTCTAGAGTACAAGAAATATCCCATCTCAAGACTTCATTCCCAGGTGAACGTGAAGCCCAATAAAGCAGACTTCTCACCTTCTTAGCAGAGATCTTTCATGCTGCCAGGGATAGGAGAGCTCAGATTGTCAGAGCCAGCCTAGGAAGTTCAGGACACAGCATAGACAGGCCAAGCACACAGGAAGGCTGAACCATGAGATCCTCTAAGAAAGAACTGCTCCGGTTTCATCACCGCATAAGAGCTTTTCATCAAGCTAGCAATCTGGCAAGCGCAAAGCAATTGTCCTAAGCAAGATAAACCCATAAATTACCTGTCTGCCATGCTGTTCCTGGTTTCTCTGGTTATGTCAGGAGCTGCTGGCCATGGCTGACTCACAACACTGTCAGAAGATGCATTTTCCTGAGTTAAAGCAGTCTCCAGTAAGGATGGAGCATTCAGTCTGTCCACCTCCACTGGAGGCATGTCCAAAGAGTGGTGGCTGTGCTCTGAATTGTGCCGGTTCCTCGGAGGCAGCAAGTGCAAGGCTGAGGCAGCGGATGCCATACTGTCTGCGTGATGACTGGGCTCCAGCACCTCCGCAGGGAGCCCAGATGGAGCTGCCGCAAAGCTGCGCTGCAAGGTCTCGGAAGCAATCTCTGGGATATCTTGGGACATGGCCGTGGAAGCAGAGGAAATGACGTCTGGAGAGCGCTCGCGGGTGGGAGAAGCCTGGGGCACCACCAAGGGCTCCATCTCCTGCAGTTCCAGCGCTAGAGAGGGGTTTCCTGGCGCAACCTGAATTCAAGATATCAAACAAGAGCCTTCAGGGTAATGCAGAGACACCCCAAGAACCCCTGGTACCTTACACCAAGCACCTCTGGGAACAGCCAGCTGTATCCTTTCCTCATGTGATCCCTGTGCTCCTACTCTGCTCAGCAGATGGAGAAGTGCCCCAAGACTTGTAACAGGCTCTCAGCTGGGCCAACACCACAATGAAGCCAATGGCTAGTTTGAACACACTTCCAAAAGATGTAACACCAGTTCCACCTCCCTTCTCTGCTCCATAATCCCTTCTATTTGAGGGAAAAAGTTAGTTTTAACATTGAACATCTCCAGGACTGAAAGCTTATTTAAATTTCAAGCTTTGGTCATAAATCTGGTTCATATCACACCTGGAAAGAAAAATTTAGGAATAGGAAAAGATCATTTCAGACCAGTAAGACCAGCAAGGAGGAAGAAACCTTTCCAGACAGCACTGTCTCCTAACACTAAGGCTGACCATGTCCAAGCCCTGTGATGGTGACAGCCCAAGCTAGAGCTGTCTCTGGTTTTCAGAGACATGCTGTTTTACACAAGGTGAAGTTCCGTTAACATGGGTAAACCTGGCTGCAGATCTGTGCCAGCAGCTCTGTTTTCTAAAGGGCACACACTGGTCTAATTTCAGCTTGTATAAGCCCAAAGACAGAGGTCCCTTGGCCCACGAGAAGAAGGAAGGGAGCAGCAATCGGAGCCTTACTGGAACAGGTGCCTTTGGTGTTAGCTTGTCAGGGAGGCCTGGGATAAGAACCGAATGGCTTCTAGGACTAGTCTGGAGACTGCTGCTACTGCTACTCAGAGTGAGGCTGGTGTCCAGCTGCATCTTGGGGCTCACAGTCAGGTCTTCTGACGGCCTGCAGAAAACAAACAAATCAAGCAAGCCCACCTCATGGTACACATCTGCAAACACTCAAGATGAGGGGATGGAATTCACAGGTCAATGGAGGAGCCCAACCTTCGCTAGTGTTCGTCAAGCCCTTGCTCTTTCCACCTCAGTCAGCCACTCCCTGTCAACTAGCACCTGCATCTCCCAGTCCCCATAGAGCCCAAAGAGACACCAGGTGGAAACAAATAAACAAAGAGGGACATCACAATCTCTTTGAATTCAAGGGGTCAGTGAGAAAAGGGACCAGTTATATCTTCAGTGCACACTGTACAAATTTAGGGAGAGACACAACACTACAGGATAGGTCTTTATCCTTTTCCCAGCCCCCAGAAGTGAAGATTTCACCTCTTACGCAGCCTAACCCACAGCAGCAGTAGTAAAATTTTCCTAACGGTCCCAATTACCTCCCTGTCCTTGGTGACTGCAGTGTTCTCTTACCTGTAAACAGTGACAACCCTTTGGGAGAAGCATGTAAAGCAACAAAACTGAGATGCAATAAGAGAATCCCTGTGAGGCACATACGAAACACTACTGTTGCCCCCTGGATGACAACAGGCATGCTCCAAGCTGCGTTAGAGATGCAAACAGTTGCCCATATAGGGACAATGGGACCCAGGCCAGTTTCTAACTCTGGCTACAAACTCCTCTCCTCTAAGATACACTACAGCTCTGCGCCATCCTGAAGGACAGTATCATTTCAGCTGCAGATACATCATTTAATACATGATCTGTTTACCTGGGCATAGAGGCATCCGTGACAGAAGTGCTACTCATGGCTGTGACTGCAGTCAGGGAACTGACGCTGCTGCCTGGAGATACAGCGATCTACAAGAAAATCGACAGCTGTCAGGATGTGACAGAGGAGTCCTTGGCAAAGAGGGAATAGACAAAAAATAGGTGGAGTTGTACTGCTAGGGTGCTCAGGTGTTGGTGGAAGGCAAGCCCCAGTACATCCTCACTGCGTCAGCAATGACTGCTCTTACTAAGCAATTGCTCTCCCAAAACCAAGAGGCATTCTGCAGGGCTCAGCACCATGTCCCCATCTTGTTTGTTGAGCCAGATTGCTCTTGTCACGGCCTGTGGCCACTAGCGAGCCCAAACCCTGCATGGGGTTTAGGTCCTGCACCGCTGAGAGATGGAAGCAGAACGCTCTGACGCCCAAGAAGAGGTATTGCTCATCTAGCCAGCTGGCCAGCAGTGAAGGGCACGGGTGGATACGCTGGCCCCCAATGCTGCTTCTGACTACCAAGAAACAGCTACAGAGAACACCAACACGAGCACACAAGTACTCGGTTGGGAAAGATGGTTTGGCCAAGTGTCTTGTGCCAACTGCTTATGGCAGAGACTGAGCCAAACAACTTCTCTCTGCTCCCTTGGGACATCTGTGCATTGGGAAGGCTACGCACCCTCAGGCACAAAATTTACTTCTTCACTCAGCAACTTTGCTAGCAACATCCAAACCTTTAGGAGGAGTTTAGTTTATTCCTTGCTCCTCAAGTTGTTGCTGGAGTGGCACTCTCTCATCAGTTAACTCAGTACTAACTCCATTTCTGCACATCTCCACGTGCTTCCCAGCCTCACCCAGGCTCCTGCAGTACATGTTCGAGCTGTGGTGACAACCACACGTTCTTCCCTTGGTGGGGGGAAAGCCCTACCTTTGGATGTGCACGTGGAGCGCTGCTCACAAGCACTCTCCTCTGTGCCTGTAAGAGCCACACCAGCACAACAAATAACTGCTGGCAGTCCATGTCACACTGGAAGTCAGGGAAAATACAGATGGCACAACTTCCCACCAGCTGAATCCACACCTTGAAATCCTACTACATATATTTCGTATCACTGTAATACTATTTCCTATTACATTATACAACTGCAGTGACTTGTTTGATGCAGATGCTTTCCAAATCAAGACAGGAAATGAAGATCAATGAGGAAATGGAAAAAATACTATTTCCCAGACCTGCATTCCAGTGGCTGCAGGTACTTGAGCTCAGACATTGGAATAAGTATGTCTCTGGGGAAGATTCATCATGTCTGCCTTTAGTGAGGGAAGAGAAGAACTCAGCTGGAGAACAGTCAGTTATAGACAGGCAGCACAGGTACAGAAACATCTGGCCTAGGAGAGGGTGTCCCTGCCCATGGCAGAGGGGTTGGAACTGGATGATCTTTAAGGTCCCTTCCAACCCAAACCATTCTATGTTCTATATTACAGATAGCTGCAAAAGATGCACTTTTAAAAACACCTTTTAATTTATGCCTACGCCCACTCCAAAAGCACATGGAGAAAACTCTACAGTCACAAATTCCATACAGAGATTCAGTAGAAATTCAGTATGGAGGCATGGAAGCAGGCTATAAAGCAAGAATATCTGAGTGGGTTTAAGACAAACTAACATGACTTCTGGATGCAGAGCAGACAAGAAACAGCGAGCTCCTGCACTTCTGCTAGTTGGCATAGCCAAGAAGGGCAGCAGAAACCTGTGCAGTTAGAGAGGTGCGTGCTGCCAGTTCCAGGCAGCCCTGGAGATGCCCGGCAGGAGCCATTGGCATGTGATAAAGCACTGCTGGCCACACACATCTGGCAGAGCATTAAGAGCAACTCTGTGTTTTCTGACTGCTCCATCACAGCTCCACTGAGGAGTAAATGCTTGCTCACGGCTCTTCACCAAGACACTTTGCAGACACCACCCAATCCCAAAGAATGCTTCACATGCTTCCTGATACTGAAAACCCTGGAGCAAGCACAGAAGTCTTGTCTTCTGTACAAGTTAAGGCCCGCTGTGTTAGATTCAAAAACACCCAGTGAGCTACTGGATCACCGATTTGCAGATCTCATGCAGAAGATGTTAGTGTCCCATCTACCTACCCGATGATTTCAGACGTGCATTTCCACAGGATCCCATCAGACAGGACATGCAGAGATGCCATTTTTTCCATCACATCACAACCCCAAACAACAGGTGTAAACCAGTAAGAGCAGTCTCCCAGCTTGGATAGTTATTTAGCCAACCTGTATTTCTACACAACACTCTTACATCAGCAGTTTTGCAGCTAAACACAGCACTCAACACAAGCTCAGGCCAGCTCAGCATTCTAGATGTGCCAACTTGCCTGTACGCAGTTTGGTTACATGCACGGAGTTTCCTGCGTGCTCTGCATTCGGCTAGCATAGCCGATCAGAGGCACTGCCTCAGAGAAGTTCCCAAAGTATCAAAATCCAAACCCATCCCTTATACTATCAGTAACAGCGCTGATCCCTGGTTACCTGTTGAAGGGATGTACTTGGTGTCATGAATGCATCTGGAGTCATCAGCTTAGGTTTGGCATCATTTGAGAGAGAAAGGAAGTCTGCTGGAACAGGCAGATCGGCAATACGCCGCAGGTCTGGTTGAGAGCCGTGCACCGATCCTTTTTCGGATCCCAGCCCTTCTGTGCTTAGATCAGCCATGTGGTCTGGAAAGGCTTCCAAGGGAGAGATACAAATCAATTTACAGGAATTTCCCCAAAAGCTAAAGCTTTAATTCCACAAGTACAAACTTCTGCCATCGCTTGCTGTACTGGATTCCACAAGACCAAGCAAAAACCTTGCAACATCCTAATCAAAGCTAAGGGTAAGGCAAGTCCTGTGTTCTGCTTACTCTTTGCAGGCTAAACAGGGGATAACAGCTTTGATAACAAGAGATCCAAGCTTCCTTTCTTCTCTAAATGCAAGCCCAGTTTAACAGCCACATCCAAGTGAATGAACTGGAAGAGCACATGACGCACAGCCTGGTCCCCTCTACTCCCAAATCTCTGGAGTCACTCTAATATCGTCCATCCGACAAAAAAAAAAAGCAACCAAATGTCAAGTTTCTGGCACAAGTGCCAAATCACCTAGAAAGGGCACTCAGGAGTGCACAAAGCATTAGGACTCCTAGCCTAACATGCCCCCACACTCTCATCAAGTGGCTTGCTTCACAGCTAGTCCCTGTTCAGAACCCTTTATGTAATGACACCTCCATTACACAGAAACACCCAAAGCTGCACTCCTGCAGCTTCACCTCCACCAACGACCTTCAAAGGCTCAGCAATACTGAGTAATGATTTAACAAGCGCTCACCAAATTCTTCATGAGAGCTGTGGGAAGGCATGGACGAACTCATGTCAGGGCTATGAAGAGGCTGGAATCTAATCTGCACATCTTGTAGGGCCCTGAAAAAAAAAAAACCAACCAGGCATCTGTGATGAGTTTATGAATCACCAAGAGAAGTCCAATGCTTAAAAGATCCCTTTTCACTGAACTGGTTCCCTCAGAATATGTTTTAGTGTTTTCTGCCCATGACAGAAGCAGCAGAATTTGATCCTCCGTCCACTCTGCCACCCAGAGCATTTCAGAGATGTTTCCCAGTACTCAGGCATGAGAACAACTCTAAGTCACTGCATATGCCTGGCAACAAAAATACTAGCTTGCCACAGGACCACACAGGGCTACTTCCCAGTAAGGCCAACACACCACAGCTAGAAGTTGCTACGGATCCAAGTAGTTTTTGTTATGAGCAGAAGGAATTGGTAAAGTTAAATTTCTACGGGTCAGCGCAGGATTAGGACGACCGCAGACAGCTGCCCACGGTAGCTGCGCGCATACTCACTTGGTGTGCACGCAGAAGAGTTTTATCAGCACGCCTGCTGCCGACTCAACAGCCCCGGCTCCCGGAGCACCTTCTGTACAGGAGGCAAAAGGAAAACATGATGTTGGATGGAAACTGCAGATGAACTACTAGAAAAACATCCCAGCAGATGAACCAGCAGCAGAGAAACAGCACAATACAGCTTCGTCACTTCTCAGGTAGATTCACCCCGTTAAGGGAAAGTGTATCCTACACTCCCTTCACTCTTCAGTGTGAGCGCAACCAAATGTGGTGTAATCCAGTAGATCAGCCTCAAGGAAGAGGGGGAGAAGAAAAAAAAAAAAAACCACCCCACTCACTAGGCAAAGAGGAGGAAGCTGAGGCCTGGAACGACCAGCGATTCATTCTGGCTGCTCAAGTGACTGGCCAGATGTATTTTCAAGAGAGACACATGAGCTTGATTCACCCAGAAGTTCAGACTAGGGCTCGACCATCCTTCCTGGCTGTTAAGAGCTGTAGTTATAAAGAGCTCTGCAGCAACACAGCCCTACGCTGCCAGAGGAAGCTGTCTCCTGCGTTCTGCTGGGGGCAACGGCACTATGCAACCACCAAAGCATCGCGGCTCAGACACCAAGCAGCTGATCTTGCACCTTGCCCAAAGCGTCGCCTGTGGTCACTTAATCCCACTCAGCCTGGAATGCCTTCTTCCCCCAACAAACGCCTCAGCAGCGTTTCTGTGTGGTAAGGGGTGATGGCTAGAACCCGGGGTGGGAGGTTCAGGTTCAATATTACATATTACAATATTACAATATTTTCTTTCGGAAGGGGTGCAGCCCTGAGACAGGGCACCAGAACAGAGACAGGAGTCCCACGTTTGGGGGTCTTCAACATGCAACTAGGTGAGGGCACAGGTGACCTGATCTGCCACCAGCAACAGTCCTGCCTCAAGCAGCAGGTTGGACCAGAGACCTCCAGAGGTCCCTTGTAACCAACTCAACTGCGTCTCCCTGAAGTACTTCAGCTGCACAGGATGTATTTCATATGGACTACGAGCAGAAGAGAGACAACAGTTCATGTGAAAGCCAGAACCAGTCAGGAGAGAAATCCTGACCTCACAGCAGCCAAATTCCCCTCACCACCTACCTACACTCAAGCTGTCATTTTCCTCCTCTGCTGGGAGCACTTCGGTGTGCCTTAAGCGGCAGCGGCTCACTGCCTGGATGCCAAAGCTTAGGACTGGGTGGGTCAGAAGGAACTCAGAGATGGAGCTGAAGTAAGCTTTGCCCTCCTCTTGGTTCTGCACCAGCTCCATCACGTACAAGACCTGGAAGAATTGGAAACGGTAAGTCACTGGGCTTTGAGCGCAGAGCATGTGTATGTGTGTGTGGATGACACAGCCTAGCACCTGGACGAGACTGGGAACAAGGGAAGTAACGTGAGGAATAAAGCCAGGGCTGTTTAAATTTGAAACAGAACACCCCAGGGAACCACAATAAGCACACTCCTATCTGAGTCAATGTTAATCAGGAACTCACTCCTGTGCCATGATGTCACCAAATCAGAGATTTACTTACGGGTGAGAAGTAATCCTTAGAGCTCCTCAGGATTAATCAGCTGAATTGTTACCATTTGCAATCTTATGGTGAAGCAGCCAAGGCCAACCTCTGCACTTTTAGCTATTAACATGCAAACCCTAGACCTAGGCAGCAGAGTCAGTCACACAGATGGTCACTTCTTCTGTCACCATTACCCACACAGCCAGCAATAAAACGAACCACCTACTTTTCTCTGCACATCGCTCAGTATCAGATATTCAGCAGAGAGGTCCAGGCAGACTTTCAGGCTGGGAAGAATACTCATGGAGCTGAAGATATCTGGAGAAAAGCTAGATCCACAAATAAGAGGTGGAAGGGGGGGGACACAAAAAGCAAGGTAGATTAGCACAACCAGAACAGCTGCTATGAAACTTCATTAGTCCAAAAAAAAAAAAAAAAAATCTTAGGAGTTTACAGCCACATCACTAGATCAAAACCACCACTGCAGGAATCAGTGCTGACTTCAGCTAAGAGACCAGCAGGGAGATCCCAGAATAGGATCTAAATATAGATTCTGAACATTTAAATGAAAGGTGGCGGTCACTTAACATGTTCCACATTCATAGGAAAACAAGAGCCAGTGCTACAAATTTGAAACCAGAAATCCACCAAACCAAAATAACCCTCCCATAGGTTTTGGGCCTTCTGTAGTATGAGCTGGAAAAAGCAGCACTGAGCTGTATGCCACATTCGTCTCATTTTAAGAGGGCAGTCCAGAAGTGGCCTTACAGGCACATGTGATCAGAGAGGTCACAATCCACCAGCAGTAAAGTAAAACCAAGGAACATAAACTGAGTGAAGGGGTGAACTACAGTGGAATTTGAACTTCCAGACCTATATGGCTCAGCAAATAAGCCTTGTATCACTGCTTCAGCTCTGCCAACGTAGCAGCCACTCATTATTTAAATCAGAAAAAGCAGTAAGAGATCCTAGATTTGTTACTGAGTATCTAGTATTCTGATAGAAGCAAGTTCTCAAGGAGTGCAATTTGGAACGCCTCTTTCTCATGCTACAGGTATGTCTATGCTCTACAGACCAAAGTGAAGACACGAGGTCCCGGTAACACCAAGGAGAGTGTATGAAAGGTTCAACCTTCTCTGCCCTGCCAAAGCTTGACCTGGCTGTCTGTCCCAGCCCTGACGGCTTTCAACAGATCGGTCAGGCTGGCAAAGGAGGAGGTTGTAGCTGGGGCTAGAGTAGGCTCAATGCAGACCAAGGATCAGCTTTGCAAAGTTAAGTATGCCCGGAAATTGAGATCTTTGGTACAACCCATTGCCCAAAGTAAATCCAACCCTCCAGGGGAGTCGGCATACCAACACCTACCGGACGGTTTGCAGGCAGGTCCAAGACACAGTGCACCACATCTTCAGTTCTCTGTTCTGATCTGCTCCCGTGATGAGAAATCTCCAGAAGGGAACCCTGCAGGTATAACAGAAGTACGTTCTCTTAAAAAAGATCTGATCCTTCCCATAAGGACGGTTCACAGAAAAGTTCCTCAAGCTGCCTGGAGCTGATTTTGCCCAACCATGTCATAAAGTTTCCAAAAAATCTCTGCTTCTGAGGCAGATTAGAAACTACGATAGCTCTCGAGAACCTTAAGGCCACAACGGAGTGAAGAAACAGTAAAAATAAAACAAAACAGTTACTGCAGTAGAAATTTGGAGAGTAACAGGCCAGTTAAAACTGGCCATACCACAAACCTGAAAGGACTCAACTTAGAATTTTCATTGCTTTCATGGACTTGACACTAGAATTAAGGTCACTTTATACTGTGCTCCAGAGCCTTATTACTGTGCTCCATCACTAGAAAACTGACTGCAAAGAGGACAGGATTTGCTCCTGCCGCAACACTGACTTTATTTTACAAATACAATACAATTACAAGGAATCCCCCACAGACAGAGTTGGAAGACACTACTAAACCTCAATAATCCAAGTACAGGATTGAGGACTTACTCTGGGTCTTGTTTTTTATGGTTGTCACAGAAGAGCAGGCAGGAAAGAGGCCTGCCATCATGGGGTTTCCACTCATGAAGACATCTAAGAAAGAATCAGAGAAGACTGAGTATGCAGGGAGTAGTAAACGAGGACTATACAAGGTGGGCACTGAACACATTATCCCTCGTCCAAAGACAGCACTAAGTCAGCAGCCACAGAGTGTTATCAGCTCGTAGCTGTTTACATATATATAAATGTCCTTATATAAATTAAGGAGATGACAGCCCATGCAGCCACAGACTGTGACCGAAAAACCCAAGAAATCGTGTGTACGTATTTGGTTTGGTGTCTTAACAAGAGCACGATACATAAAAGTCAACCTGGGGAACACAACGGCAGAGAAGCTTTCTGTGTCAACAGGGACAGTGCAAGAGTTTGACTACAGCCTGGGCAAGGCACAGAACTCCTGCTTCCAGACACAGCTCTTGGCTTTTTCCCCAAATTCACCAAACTCTGAGCATACAGGATATTCAGTGATCCAACTCTTCTGCAACAATTAATTTGACAAACATTCACCCTCTCTCTTTATAATGTCCTGAGAATGGCCATCATTGGTGACTCTGTAACAAGGGAATTTTCACAGAGAAAATGCTGTTCTCTGTTACAAGATCCTTCATTTCCTAATTCTCCAGTTACCTTGGCTCGTCTTGCCCCTCGATATAAATCTGCCAGAATTTGACAAAACCATCATGGCTTGCTGTGGCCAACACAGTTCCATCTGGAGAAAGTGCTCCCTCGCTCAGGCACTGAACAGAAAGGGGAAAAAACATAAAAGACAGAAAAGTGATTTTCTAGCTCTTCATGGAGGAAGAGTGCTCTCTTCAAACAGGAATGTGACTAACAGTCTGATAGCACAGGAGGTCACAGTGATTTCTAACAGACATGTCACCTGGCAGCTTAACCCCTTACACAAGAACAGAGAGGACTTTTTTGGTAAAAGTAACAGTCACCTTTTCCAGACAGCAAGGAGTGATTTCTAACAGACCTGGCAGCTTAACCCTTTACAGAAGAACGGAGAGGACTTTTTTGGTAAAAATAACAGTCACCTTTTCCAGACAGCAAGCTTAATTACAATGAACTGTGCTGCACTGATGTGGATGGGTGTCTGCAGGTGACAAGAAACTGGGTGGGAGTGTTGACTGAATCCTGGGTTCAGTTTGGGCCTCTCACTACAAGAAAGTCACTGAGGTGCTGGAGCATGTCCAGAGAAGGGAATGGAGCTGGGGAAGGGGCTGGAGCACAATTCCTGTGAGGAGCAGCTGAGGGAGCTGGGGGTGTTCAGCCTGAAGAGGAGGCTCAGGGGAGACCTTATTGCTCTCTACAGCTCCCTGAAAGGAGGGTGCAGAGAGGGAGGGTCAGTCTCTTCTCCCAAGTGACAGGACAAGAGGAAATGACCTCAAGTTGTGCCAGGGGAGGTTTAGATTGGATATTAAGGAAAATTTCTTCACCAGAAAGGCTGTCAGGCATTGGAATGGGCTGCCCAGGGAGGTGGTGGAGTCACTATCCCTGGAGGCATTTAAGAGACACGTAGATTTGGTGCTCAGGGACATGGTTTAGTGGGCGTAGATTTGGTGCTTAGGGACATGGTTTAGTGGTGGGCTTGGCAGCGCTGGGTTAACCATTCAACTCTGTCTTAAAAGTCTTTTCCAACCTAAAAGGTTCTATGATTCTACTACTCACCGTCACTCATGTTATGAGCAGAGCTCATTTTGGTTTGGGATCTTCCAGCTTTTCACAGTCACTATCATCTCATCTAAGTGATACAAGTACTTTATCATCATCCTGTTCAAGAAGTGAAACTGGACTCTTTCCAGTTGTTTTCTTTGAGATTCAAAATATCACCTGCTGCATACTCAGCTGCAGTCCTGGTCCACTGTGGTCAGATCTAGCTATACCGATTAGGGGGGATCATAGAGAATAAAGATGACCTCAGGCTTAGTTTTGCCCTTCTCACCCAGCAGCAAACTACAGCAGTCTTCAGTGTTCCATTTACCAGGAGATATAACAAAATATTGTCAAACAGGCCCTTGGAAATAGAGATGACTTTTCAAGAGCCATTTTCAAAGCCCTTGGCTCTTTAAACAAAGGCCAATTTAAACTTACCAATAGTGTGTGTACATAGGCAGTAGGTTGTGGATGAGTAAGAAACTGTTGTGGGTTGTTTGTTTTTTTTTTTTACACAGCCAACTGTCCTAAGAACAGCAGCTCCTGAGACACCATAACCCAAAGAAAACCTAAGTGATCTGTAGCAATCAACTATGTAATGGCAGGAAAGGGAGCAAAACAGGTTTATACCGTGCTGTGGCCTTTCACTACGATGAAGCCTTCTTTGATGCTAGGCACTTCCACCGGCCAGGAGCTGTTGTTTGTTCGGATAATGTCCAAATCCCACACCTCTGCCTGGAAAGCAAACATGTGGGCACACAGGTTTGTTTCTACAACTACTAGTATGATCCAGTGGAGGACTTCTTATGTTCTTATATCCTCACATACCAGCCCAACAGCAAGTACATGACATAAACCTTCCCATTTCCACCCAAGCTGGTCATTAGATGCTTTTCTGGCACCCAGCACTGTGGGAACTGCTCTTGGGAGTAGTAGTTGCTGTTCATCATGTCCCCTCCACTGGGAACTGGCTCTGCCTGAAGAGATGAGCAATGCCTCTGGCCCTCCACATTGTTCCCAGTGACCCTGGTATTTGATGGTGAGCAGAAGTTACCACTTTCCTTCCTCCTGAGCCCCAGGAAAAGATCAGCATGACCTCTCCTTGGAAGAGAGGAATCCCCACATCTCATGTTATGGGAGGATCCCCAGCACAGACCAGACAGAGCCTTTACAACTCCAACCATTCCTGCATTAGATTCTCCCCCTCAAATGGCAATAAAGGTCAATGTTTCAACAGCAAGGTTTCCTTACCCTGTCCTCATGCAGCAACGCCAGCGTCTGATTTCCCTCTTCACCACTCTCCTCATTATCTTCTGGGATGAAAGGGCACCAGATGATTCTTCGAGAGGTGTTCAGTGGGGTATTGTCAGGCCGCTTGATGTTAACCAAGATCTCCTCTCTGATTGCCGTGGTTAAGGACCATAACATTCTGGACACTCAGCAGTAACCTATTTAAGGCTTGGTCCTCTGGTAAATACTATTAAACCTCAAGATTTTTTGGATCATTGAGATTCAGAAAGAAATCAGGTAAAAGGATTCTGCTAAGAAAGCAGACAAACTCGTGTTTCTTCACTGGCAGAAGAGGTTAAGCTTACAAAAGTTAATAGATACTCCCAATTTTCTCTTGCAGGCTACAGACAGGGACAGGATAAGCGCAACAGGAGCACACAGCCACATCTGAATGTGCAATCCATGCGACTGCTGATGGACAGATTAAATTATTACAGCTAGCATTGCAACAGCACTACCACAGAAGGACAGAAAAGCTTCCAGATAGAGTGCTCTAGTCCACCCATAAAGATCTGAAATGACTAGAACCACCTTTGCTCCAGTTGCTTTTGAAGTGATGGCATACAACTGAAATTAAGAAGCCACAACCTAACACAACATATCCCATAGATGGGTGTACTTCCCAAAAGCACCAAGCAGTCACTCCTAGCAATTAAAAGGAGATGATCTGGGGCAATGAATCAAACACTAAAAATAAATTTCAGGATCACCAGAAGTGGTGACAGATTTGGAAGGAAGTTAGTGAGTAGGTAGGAAGCATTACATCCTCTTCCCCAGAAAAGTCACTGAGGAGAAGAGCTAGAATCAGACAAACGTGAGTAAAAAGCTTTGTCACATGGTCGAGGTGACAATGTCCCTGTGTAAAGCCAGCCGGTAGACTGACATGTCTCACTGACTACTTTTGCCTGGACCAGGAGCACTGAGGTGTCCTGGAATTTCAAGTTACGTATGATTTCAAGCAATGATTGTGCTGAATACAGGCACAGGTTGGCTGATTTGACATTCTGGAACGGTCAGAACTATCCAGCCTCCCCCTGCAAGCTGCTATTCTGGAATGGCTAGGAAATAAGCTGCAATTTTGAGGTTGCATTCACATCTAACCATTACACAAAGACTGAGGTGTATTTTGACAGGATACTGGATTTTTTCTTTATCCATGGCGAGGCGCCAGACAAAAAGGTTGCCAGCCTCATCCAGGCATGCCAGCTGACTGGAGTTGAGATGAGCAAAAGCCAGGTCTGCCACACCGCCTGTGAATCCTTTCAGCAAGGTCCGCTCAGCAGTGCTGACGCTCAACACTCGCACCATAGCGGAGCCGTTACTGGCCGCTGCAGAGAAGACAGAAAGAAAGGTCACCATTTGTCTGTGCAGTTTCCCCATGAGACTGCCTTTGCCTCCAGCCATCGGCATTTCCAGCACCCACTCTGCCATCAGCAGTCATTGGCAGCACACCAAAACCCTGTATCGACAGGTACCACGTCAACAAGTCTTTCCCAGACCCTGGCACAAGCACAAATACTCGCTGCACTTCTCAGCTTTGGTGCAGAAGATGGGAATGGCAGTGTTAAGAAGTACTTCGCCTGCCAGCATTAAGAAGTACTCTGCCTGCCTCGTAAGGAGCAGGTGAAGTACTTCCCTGGATCTTTTACAATTTCTTGAGCACCCCAGATTCCAAGTTGCTCTACTTAAAAAGTCAACAGAAGTTGACTTCTCATGACTCCCAGGACTACTCTCATGAAAGATGTTTTCATGACAAAGCTACCCAACCTCCAAGACTGACCTCCAGTGACAGTGAATTAATTTTAACTGCAATTTAATTTTCAGTAACTGGAGCAAAGGAGTCACTGAGAGGCAGGTAGCTCAAATACATTTTCTACAAGAGGAATTTAAAAGCATAAACACCTGTCAAAGAGCACTGCTTTTTGGCTTGTGTGACTGAAAAGAACACGCTTTAGAACGGGCATATATTAAGTGCAGTTTCCAACTCCTCCACCTCAGACAAACTCTAATGCCGGCAGTCTTATGGAGACCACAGCGATTCCACTTCTTGATGCCCAAGCCAGCCCGAGCAGACCACTCAGTTCTCCATCGTGTTACTTCACCCAAGCTTTACTACTTTTTAAAAAAGGATGAAACACCTTAAAGCTGCTCTAAAATAACCTCAGCTAGGAAAAACCACAGAAGCAGAGTAGTGGACTTCATGAAAGGCCAGACAAACTGATGGGTGCTGGAACTAAGAAGAAAGGGAAGAGCTGATGGAGCCCCAAACACTGTGTGGTTATACGAAAGCAGAAGGAGACACTGCAGATGACTAAGTGTTCATTTATTTCATGTAAGTTGTGAAACAATCCTTCCCCGCGTTGTTCTGCTTTCCTCCCCCTTCCTACTGCAAAATACACTGCATCTGCATTGCTCTTCGGCTCCTAAATTTAGCCTTAAACTCAACTCTAAATTTATGCAAGCAAATCCACTGCAAACATTTATCTGCTCAAATTACCACGGGGCTGTTTCTGGGCTTAGCTAAAGAGAAGCCTGTTTACTGCAGAAATATCTGATTAGGGGAGTAATCTCAATATCAGCTTACTGTCCAGTGAAACCAATGTAAACCTTCAACTTTTCCTCTGTCTCCACTGAGTCTCTTTCTTTCTTTTATTCCTAACTTCAGAAAAAACTTTCCTTCTCAGTGGAAACTCTCCTACACCACCAACTCTTCCCCCAGCTTCACTTACACATCCACTACACCAGCACCCTGATCCTAGTATTCCAAGAAGTGTTTCAATTATTGCCAGTTTCCTTCTCCCAGTGCAAAATTTGCCTCTTTCAGAGACAGACAGAGCAAACGAATACAAATCACATCCAAGACACATGGGTATCTCACCTCTGATGGCATAAGCCAGGTAAGAGTTTGAAACAGCTATCAGATTGCCATAGTAGTATTTCTGCTCCCAGTCATATCTAGCCACAGGCTGTATTTTCACCTGCTCAAGAGAAAGAAAACAAAATATGAGAAGCGTCTGAAATTAACTTTTTCCTGGAACAAACTTGCCAAATATATGGTGTCATCCAGGGAAGATCTGTAATGCTTAATAGGAAACTGTTAGAAGTGGCAGCTGGTAGGAGGAATTGCATATTAATTATCAGACAGCAGAGCCCTCAACATTCAAAGAGCTGGAGGCTGATGAAGCTTTCTGTCCATTGCAAGAAGGAATGCAACTCACTGAATCTGTCATGCTGCAGAGCAACACTCGACTCTGCAAGTACAGCAAAGCAGTCTTTACCTCTTTATTAGCACTGTGTCTGGATTCTCAGGTCTTGGAAACTTTTCTGAGATAAAGAAACATTTCCTGCATGGGCACTTGCTTTTGACTTTCAATACCAAGACCAGAGTCCTGATCTTGTTTGACAAGCATTGTCTTGGCAAGCAAAAAATTAAGAAGTACTGTGGAAGTTATGGCAGTGATCCTCCCTTTCATTTTTATGTCCAGTATCGTCTATGGAAAACAGTAACAGGGTATGGTATGTATTTACAATCTCCGAGATCCCTTATTTCATTGCACATGAAGGAAGAGAGGATCAAGACCAGAGCACTCTCTCCTAATCACCAGCATTTGTTCCGAGTACTCTGCTACAGCACTAGCTCTGACCTCAGCATATCGGTTCTTCCGCAGCTCTGATCTGGAGACCTCAGCAGGTCTGAGACCTCAGCAGGTCTGAGCTACCAAGCTATCAAGAGCAACCCCCCCTCCACAGTGAAGAAACAATCAGCGGAAAAACCTTGCTGTGGAAGAAGGACGCTTTCTCAAGAACCTACAGCTTAGATCATGGACTTATTCCTAAGAATTAGAAGATAACGTGGCCAGAATCTGGAATAACAGTAACCATCAGTTACAAGACGCTGCTCCAATTTTCAGCCCCTTTGTTAAGCTTTTTGACAAACTTCTACTTAATTATAACCTCCCATAACACAGAAAAGATAGCTATTGCTGTTTAAAATGTTCAAGCAGGAGCTGACACGACTAAGAAGAGGCAAAACTTTCTCTTGCTCCTTACCTTGTTACTCCCTCTGGCCTTACTGGTGATGCTGGAGTCACTGCTGGCCACTATCTCCACATCTTTTGCTGATATGACTGTGCAAGTAGAGCTGTCATCACCAGAAAGGCAGCTTTTAAGAAAAACAAAGGGGGAAAAAAAAAATCAGGACTCACAGGAAGAGAACAGAGGTCAGGTATTTGCTATTCATAATTTTAACAACAATGCAGAGTATCTGTGCATCTGGGAGGTTTGAACTGAACAACTGAAAACAGAAACTACCTTGAGTTGATTATTTCTTCCCCATGTGCCACAGGTTTGAGAGCCAAACACCTGGTTTGTTCAGCTTAAAAACCTCCAGTCTATTTGTGTTGAGAACAGACCTACAATTGGTTCAAGTAGCCTCAGCTACTGCCCAACACCGGAAGGCGTAAAGCGACTGAAGCTGAACCTCACTAACAACAGTGCGTGCTGCTCATGGCTCCCACGGCATCCTCTCAAAACTATGAGCAGAGAACCCAAACAGAAGCCATTTACACGAGCTCTGATGTTGAGAGACAGCGCGTGAAGCCAAGCATTACGCTAATTGAACTGGTATGGATTTGTTTTCTTATTCCCATGACAAATCCGAAGTATTCTACACGCATGTGTTCCCTCGCATATACGCGGTACAAGCACCTGTACTGTCCACAACACACTGGTGTGTACGCACCACCCAGCAGAGCTGCGTACAAATCTAGCTCAGGATCATTTGTCATGTTTTAAGTTACGTGCAGAGAAATATTTTGACAAGCATGAGGTCTGCTGTACTGTGAACTGGTCTAAGTTACCCCTCAGGTAACTTGGGGCCCTGAAGGAGTCCAGCTGGAGGTCGATGAGAATGCTGTTTCACCCACAGCCCTGCTAATTTACCTCCATCCCGCCTTGCAGTGTTTGCCATGTGACCAGTCCCGCTCCCCTTCTCTCTCAACAAATCTCTGCTGATGTTCTCCAGTTCCTGAGCAGCAAGGATGGCAGGCTCCACGCGTCAGCCTCGCAAAAGCTCTGACCAACTGCATGGACTCGCAACTGCCACCCAAACTCAACACAAAACTCACTGTCAGATTCCCAGCAGGCTTGTCCAAGCTCACCAGAACTAATTTTTAGCCATTTTCTCTTCACTCTCAGCCTTTCTTTGACAAAACTTACATGACTTGCTTCTCCTGCAGGGCTCCCAGAGAAATGCTGCGATGCACTGGTTTGGCCAAAGAAGGTCCATCTCCAGCCACGATGGGATCAGCCACCAGCAGTCCATTCAGGTCCCCGTTATACGAATTTGACGGTCTCTGGTTCTCATTCACTGAACCTAGGGAAGAGAACGACCAGCTGTGCACAATATCCACTTAAAAGAAATGGTGCTGCATCAAATACACTACCTTTACATGAGTTTTGTCAGGTCCTACTGGCCCATCAGGTAGAATATGCTGAATTGGTTGGGGAAAGATGTCTTCTCCAAAGAAATATGTGTAAGAAACCTTTAATACAAAAAGCTTATCTCTACACAAACAAGTGAAGTCGCAGCTCTTTTCTTACCCAAGCAATCCCAGCAGACCAGAAAAGCACCACGGAACAGGTACAAGGAATGCACTAGGTTCAGGGAGCGAATAATCTTAGATCAGAAAGACTAAGCTGGTAATTCAGATTTACTGAATCAAGAGCCAGAACAAAGGGTTCTTCAAGGGCTATTTCTAACCCTCCTGCCTGCAGAGAGATCTCAGAAGGCCAGCAATACAGTGGTTAGGTGCAACATTTGGGGTTGGCTGGCAATAATACATTTGTTACTTTCCAAAACTGGCTTCCTACTCAGACCTGACCTCAAAAGTCCAGCTGTTGGAGTAGCTCAGCTATGAAACTGTGCAGCTGTGCCTACGGGATCCACACGGGTCACTAGTCACACACAAGTTTACAGCACTCAAGTTCTGCGTAAAGCAACCATTTCTTCAGCTTCAACTCCGCTTCGAAGAGTGCACGTGCCCTGACTTCACGTGTTTGGCCTAGCCCAAGTTGCCTGGTGGCCTCCATGCCTCTGAAGGCTTTCAGGAGGGGACAGATGTAACAGGGGGCAAAGGAGACGCTCCTTGCTGTTTCACTAGCAAGGTGAAAAGCTGATGATCCCCACTGGAGAGCAAGGCCAGTCCATCTACACTTACGTGTCAGCACACCGAAGCCTCCTGTCTCAGCAAAACCCTCGCTTGAAATTACTGCGTTTGAAAACTGAAATTTCGTATACAGTTGCCAGGTAACAAGTGCTGCTGAGCTCTTGCAAAATGGCTGCTCCCAGGACCAGAAGCTCCACTGTTATGTTTTTTTTCACTCCGTTTGATACGGCACACGTATGAAACCTGAACAAAACCGTGGGCAAGAGGCACGTCCTTTGAATGTAAGGCAAGCTTTCAATTACCAGACAGGCCTTAACGGACCAGGATGAGTGCTGCTGCCTACAGAAATAACTGTGAATGTTATTAATGTGCCAGAAGAATATTTAAAACTTGGCTATTTATGAACAAAGTCATTAAATCAGCAACTACGCTGCGAACGCAAAAGCCGGTACGGCGACAGGGTGTCCCCGTGCAGGGACCATTTGGGCACTCACTTCAAGATACCCGCACAGCACGAAGGGAACCGCAGCAGCGCCCACACAGCACAAGGAAACTTCAGGGCAGGGAACAGGATGCTGTAACCACCCGACACACTTGTGCTGTGCTTGCCGTTGCAAGATTAAGATGCGCCCCTTATTCCCGTAGCGTGCGGTAGGTGCTTGTCCAGTTGCATCTACTTCCATCGACTGGAATTTATCCTTTGTGACCAAAAGCAGGAACACATTCACTACGAAAAAACATCCAGGCTGCCAGAGAAAGACAACACATTCTTTGCTCTATTTGCAGCAACAGGAATAGCTCACAGAAGTATTTCTGCTCTTTTATGGACTTCAGGACAATGAGGTTCACTCCATGGGGAAGGGAAGGAGGAAACGCTCCCCAGAGGCTGATGGGCACAACAACAGTACACTGAAGATCAGGAATGGGCTTAGCCCATCACTCTCTTATAGTGGGAGCCAGGCACAGAGTGAAGGATCCTGCCTGTAGCCCCAGCACGCTGGCTCTGACAGCCTGTCCACATGCCCCAGCCGGGAGGTCCATGGTTTGATCAGCAGCTGCCCGTTGCTGAGGACAAGGCATCAAAAAAAGGGCAAGGGCTACTGAAACAGATCACGTTAGCCAAATCTGTGAGAAAACTGTGCCAAGAGAGACTTTGGTGGTGGATCACATCTCCACAGTCACCAAACCCAGCAGAACAAAAAAGTGTTGTGACAGTTGTGAACCCTTTAGAGCGGGGAGTGTTTCTTGTCACCTGCCTGGACAGAATAAAAGTGCTGCTCACAGCTACATGCACCTAGTGTTGCAAAACCTTCTTCGTGGCAATAACCCTGGGAAGCAGCTACACTAATCTCTGCTGGATATTACAGTGTGTAAGTGAAACTCAGGGTATAACAGAAACTAGAACTAGATGAGGCTTTGACCACAGCATCTTTATGCCAGACAAGACTAGCCCTACACATGAGGCTGCTTCTGTTCTCTTTCAGAAGCCTTGAAGAATCCCTCAGTTTCCCTTTCCTCTGACATCCTAACAGGATTTTCAGAGGCTTTCAGTTAACAAACATGTATTCTTGCTCTTCACCTTATTATGTCCAGTTTTCACAAATCCATTTGATATTACCGCTATTATTGCGGTCATTTCTGCTGAGAACCACGGACTCCTCACTGCTTGACTCACTCTCCATTTGCTCCTTTCCCTCCCAACTGCCTTCTTGTGCACTAGAGATGACAGAGAAGGTATAAAAAGAATGAAGAGGAAAGAACAAAAGTGAAAAGAAATAAGCCATGCTCAGTAAATAACTCCTTTGCCTCAACCAGCAAGAGAAGCTGCTTCAGGGGAAGGTCAAATCACTTTCAGAGAACAGAAACAACTCTAACCATTTCCCAACCACGACACACCTCCGTTCAGTTCAGAAACTGCTTGTGAAACAAGTGTTCCCCACCCCTGCACTGATTTCTCCTTTCAGTTTTCCAAGCACTGAGTGCTGCACTGTGAAGGAAAAGGGCATTTTCTTATAAGAATTACACTGTGGGAGCACACAAGTGCTTCAGGAACAAGAGAAACTACTTCGAGTAATTAAAAGTTTCTCTGTGGGTAGTAAAACCACGTAGGTTTGCTTCATCACCCTACGTGCCTCTACACAACAATCCTGCATCCAACCTCTCATCCTTTTGGCTAAGGAAAAGGCAGCACACGTGGCAGTTCCTTTGGAGATAGCACATTCATACTGAGACACTTAAAAGCTATGTTATTTCTACCTTTCCCTTGACAGGAGCACAACATGGGCATAAATTCTGTCCTCTACCCAGAGGCTAAGTTTTTTTGCAACACATACAAAGTCTCAGCCTCCTTCAGACCATTTCCTCATCAGATTTGACTGAAACACTGTGCTAAGTTCAAAAAGCTATGAGGGGGTTGAGGGAGATGCCAGGCTACAGGGGAGTGGGAATATGCTTCATACAGCTGATTCCTCAGCCTGGTGCTGTTCAGCACTGATGTTTTTACAGGCAGAAGGGAGTCCACTGGACTCTGAGCAGAGAGGTGCAATAGCTCAAAGCAAAGGGACAAGACTCACAACCACTTTAAGAGAGATATTTGTGATCCTATTCCCCACTCAAATAAGGAGGAGAGCGAAAAAGCCTGTGGGAAGGGTGAGGACGGCACTGATCTCACAGGGGTTCAATAGCCCCTTCCACTGAGCCCAGCGAGACACATGGAAAAACTCACACTATTCCTAATAAAGGAGGCAGAATCGGGTCGAGGTCAGTGCTGTTCAGCTCCCGGCTAAAATCAGCCCAGGGACGGCAGCAGCAGAGAGCTTTGGGGCCAAACCGCTCCCGCT